AGAAAATTCGGCACATCCAATGGTCAAGGAATTTTGAAAGCGCCAGGATCTTCCTATTTAGGAGCTATTAAATGCATAATTGCACTCACTTGATGAGTCATTTTTATAGTTTCACAATTTATCGACCGCTTCTTTGTCACCAAATCATTCATAAACTTTGCATAACCAGTCATTTTCTCCAAAGCTTCAACCAATGGCACATTGATAGATAGAATCTTCATTATGTCAATGAACTTTTTGATTTGATTCTCCCCGTTTTGCTTGGCAAGCCTTTGAGGATATGGAGGAGGAGGCTTAGCATTGGTGCCTTAGCCTTTTGCACTACCAGTTCCGGTATGTTAACAATGTGCTCCCTAGACGGGTTCACTTCCTCTTGAGTATCCTTCACATTGTCATCAATATCAATCCGCACTTTATCATTTGCTTGCACCACATTGTTCGATATCTCATCCTCTTGTACCACTTGCTCATCATCCACAAGTTTCCTTTGACTTGAGGTGGGTGCATCCCCACCTTTTCCTCTCCTTGTAGTAATGGCCATGGCATGTCCCGTGTTGTTCCCACCCTTTGGGTTCACCACTGTGTCACTTGGTAGTGCCCCCTTAGGACGAGTGTTTAAAGCTTGAGAAATTTTCCCCAGTTGAACTTCCAAGATGCAAATTGATGTGTTGTGTGAGGTTAGTTGAGCATCAGAGTCAGAATTCTTCTTCATAATTTGTTTGAACATATTCTCAATTCGTCCCATCTCATTTGGTTGTTGATACATTGGTTGTTGCCTCCCCAATATCCTTGATTATCGCCACTCCAATTGCCTTGGTTATTTCCACCATTCCAATTTCCTTGATTGTTGTTACTGTTCTAATTACCTTGGTTGTTCGAGTTCTAATTACCTTGATTACCTTGAGGTCTCCATGTTGTTGATTCGGGCCTTGAGAGTTGTTTCTTTACCCTTGAAAGTTGTTCACGTATTACACTTCCTCCTCTTTGTTCATTGTAAGATTCATCTTGATCAAACCCACTATTTTTTTGCACATAATTATCCACACGGTTTTGTACTTATGGACCCTTTTGCCTTCTCTTGTTTACCATCATGCTAACTCCCTCAATTGCATTGACTTGCTTAGGACCTTGCACTTGTTGAAGTTGAGCCTTGGCTAATTGATTCATTATGGTGGTCAACTCAGCAATGTCTCGCCTATGATCATGCAATTCTTTATGCAGGTGAATCACGTTCGGATCACCTTGAGGAACATTTTCTCTACTTTGCCATGCCGATGAAGTATCCGCCATTTCATCTAAAATCTTACAAGCTTCCACATACATCGTTGTCATGAAATTTCCACTGGCAAGTTGGTTGACCACATATTGATTGGTAGTATTAATCCCTCGATAGAAAGTTTGTTGAATCATTGCCTCCATCATGTCATTATTGGGGCACTCTTTGACCATTGTTCAGTACCTCTCCCATATTTTATGCAACAACTCATTGGGTTCTTGTTTGAATGCTAGAATCTTGTCTCTAAGTAGCCATATGCCCGGTAGAAAAGAACTTAGAAATAAATTTATCCGCTAATTCATACCATGTATGGATAGAATGGTTTTGCAATATCTCTAACCAATCCAAGGCTTTCCCCCGTAGAGAGAAAGGAAATAGCCTCAACCTTAAAGCATCCTCAAAGATGTTTGTCTGTTTACTCCCCAATAAGTGTCCACAAACCCCTTCAAGTGTTTGTATGCATTTTGACTCGGAACCCGATAAAGAATACCCATTGCTCTAGCAATGTGTGCATTACATTCATGATTTGAACGTTGCCTGCCCTAATGCGGGGCGAGACTATGGCACTTGCATATCCTTCACTTGGCAATACCCGACGTGGAGCCACTCTTGGTGAAGGTGGAGGTGGAACTGGGTCGTTGTCTTGAGGTTGTCGGCCTCTTCTATTTGCTTGAGGTTCAAGAGGAACCTCTTCAACTTGGTTGTCCTCAACGTCCACGTCCCCCATAGGCATGTTTCTGAGTGGATCATTATTGAGAGCCATTGTTTCACCTACAATTGTTTCACAAAAAAAATTATTAACAAGGAAGGAAATGAAGACAATTCACACACAAAACCAAATATATAGCTAAATCCATTTTTAGCTCCCTAAATCCAAATGCATGCCTCTAACGAGGTATGACGTGGTCGTTTGCAATAACTAAACATAATAAGGAGTCGGGATCGAATCCACGGGGAGCTGAGATGGGAATTAGTAGTATATATTTGGAGTGAGTATGTGAAGTATCTAGATTGCACTACCACAAACAGGGTATTGTTTTTACTTCTAAAATTACGCTAAAAATTGCAATACAATATGCATAAAACTAGAGAAGATTGTTTTTGAATGTTTTTCAAAGATATAAATAGGCCTAGGGTTGTGACCATAACCTAGGTGTTTGCCTAATGGGATAAAGACTTTTATGTTTTTTATTGACTGGGGTGTGTTATAGCTCACAACACTATGTTGTCCAATCAATACCTCTCGGTCAGAGAGTGGTTTTGCCCAATTTGGCTTTCTCAAAAACAAATGGGTATCTACCGAAACAGTTGATAAGCACTCAAGTCGGGTTGTTACTATCTCTAGTTGAACCATTTAATTGGGTTAATCAATCTCTCAATTGATCTAACTCTTTTTTAGCTAAGCTAACCTAGACTAGGTATCTCTTCCTCAAGAAGAGACTAAGTCAAATATGCATAAATCAATATTTATAACCATTTATTTCACAATTGAAGCATGAACTTAGCTAAATAACAAACACTCATTCATAAATAAACATAAAATTAATCACCCATAAGGTTTACACACTAGGGTTGGGTCACAATCCTAGTAAAAAATCTAGCTACTCATAATGGGTATAGAAGAAAACAAATAAGAAAACATAATAAAACTCATATTGAAAGATTAAAATATAAAAACTCAATGTTAAATCACCAAAATAAGCTAAAGTTGCTTAAAGAAACAAGAAGAAAAAGCTACAACACTTTGAATATTCAAAACTTGACCTAATTTCGTGAAACTATTCTATTTATACAAAGCTAGAATTTTCAGACAAAAATGCCCTTCGAGACTTTGCGGTCGCACAATTCCATGTGCGATCCGCCCTTTACTCCAGCTTCACAGGATTGAATCTTTGCAGCCGCACAATTCTGAACCGCGGCCGCATCCCATATTCTGCGGTCCGCGCATTTCTGGGTGCAGCTACGTAGGGCTCTTCTGTGGACCGCACATTTCTGAGTGCGGCGGCGTAGCTGACTTCTATGGCCGTAGAATAATTGTACGGTCCGCACATCCTTTGAGCTTGAAATGAACACTCTTTGAACTTCTGCTTTTGCATAGCTTATGCGGCCGGACATTTCATGTGCGGACTGCACTTTGCACTTGGTCTCTGATAAACTTTTCTTCACAATCTGCGGCTGCATATGGGAATCTGCGGTCCGCAGATCACTCCTTCTTGAGTTAGATTTCATTTATGTGGCTCATTTTTCAATACTCCTGCAATTAAGCATATTTCATCAGTTTTCGTGAATATAATTAAACGCTTTTGGACTAAAATAAAAGCTACAAGGTGCTAATAAAGAGTCAAAATCCCCATTTATCATATACTCTACAAAATTCAAGACAAAACCTCCAAATATCTCTTTTAAATGTCATAATCTATGTGTAATCTATCCATGGAAAAACATGATATATTATCAAAATCAAGTGGAAATCACTCATCCTCTTACCTTGTATAAAATTCTCCTTAAAAAATTACCCATCTCCAATTCTAGGGTTTAAAATATGAAAGAATTGGTTAAAATCCTGAAATTAGAACTTAAATTAGTCTGTCCAGCACTACCCATCGCGATCGCGACAGGCCCTTCACAATTGCGAAGGGAAAACTTAGCCACTGCCTCAAAGGACTCTTCGTGAATACAGAATTGACCTCGCAGACGCGATGCAAAGACACCCCTGACTAGGGGAATGCGAGCCCCTTCCCGTGACCGCGAAGGCCAACCTCTAGCCTACCTCACTGCTCTACGAATGGAATATACCAGGTGCGAATGAAAAGACCAACTGGCTACAAACCATCACAAATGCAACCATCAGCCTAAGAATGCAAATAACAAAACCATCCTGTTCCAAAATCCTTCTTCGCGATCGCGATACTTACTCTGTGATCGTGAAGCACACTAGATATCAGCAGAATCTGCTACATCAAACATGCTTCGGATGGTCCGAAAATCACCTAGGCCTTGGGACCTCATTCAAACATACCGATAAGTCCATAAATACCACACAGACCTATCCAAAGCTTTCAAACACATACGAGATCACCACATCTACTAATCGTAGATCAAACCACAAATTGAATTTCTCTTAATTTCATAAGCTTCTAAAGTCCCAAACAAGCATTCGATTCATGACTAACCACTTCATATCACAATCAAACTTTGCAAACAAGTTCCAATAAATCAAATGAATCTATTCCAAGTCTCAGAACACCAACCGAAATATGATAATATCAGAATTAACTTCTGGTCAAACCTATGAACTCTCCAAATCTTTAAATTGCCAACTTTCATCAAATATAGTCAAAACCTTCTAGGAACTTTCAAATCCAAATTCGAACATACGTCCAAGTTCGAAATTACTATACGAACCTGTTGGAATTATCAAATCACCATTTTGAGGTTATCTATTAAAAATATAACTTTTGTCAACTCTTACAACTTAAGCTTCTAAAAATTGAACTAAGAGCTCCAATTAACTATTAAAACTTTCTTGAACAAAACTAACCATTCATGTAAGTTACAAAACAATATAAAAGCATACAAGAAGTATCAAATAGGAAAACATGGCTCAAATATACAAAATAATCGATCGGGTCATTACAATAGGCACCTTGGATTTTAAAGTGTCTAATAAGTCCAGCATTCTTCTTGTTGAATAAAGCTCATTGTTGCTAAGTGGTGTCAGTTAGGTACTGATTTTCTAAATCCTTAACCTTTCTCCAACTCCTTGGTATCTGCACAAATGTCACCCACCTTCTTGTCCTATACTTGTTTGATCACCTCCTTAAATCCATCTTGCATAGTCTACAAGTTTAAAAACTTAAAGTATCTAGACAGTTTAGCTGTAGAAATTTTGAGCCAGTGAGGAGCATGATCTGAATTGACTTTAGGCAAGTGCACAACTAATGATTTACAGTACTTTGTGGCCAATTGATTATTATCCAGGGCCCTATCACTTCTCATCAATTCTCTTCCAAATTCTTCTATCATGTGCCCCATCATTACATCAAGTGTATTTTGGGTCAGAGAACTGAAGTTTCACAAGATCACACTGAAGAATACAGTTGATAAAAGGTAAAGCTTTCTGATGGTTGTGAGGATGTCCTCCTTCTTTCTCTTGAGCTTTAGTAGTGTAATTAAAGTCACATGTCACACGCCATGGTTTATTGTAGTATGAGAGCCTCTTTAAATCTTCCAATAAAGGAAGCCTCAAAGAAGACTTAGTATTAGTATAAACAACAAAAATGATAAAATCTTCCTCATTGTTATTAATGGAGCAAGTTAGGACCTATTAAAGATCATCAATAACAGTACAATCTAGATCTTCATCGCTAAAAATCCAAATTTTATTTTTGATGTTTCAAAATGCTTGACTATAACCAAGCATTCTTTTGTATCTTTGAAGTTTCTCTCTAGCCACAAGGGGTTCCATAATGGCTATAAAAGAAAGTTTTTTTATTGAGTTTGAGGAATTTAAGTCTTTCAAAGGCATTTTTAATACCTCTAATATTTCATATGAGAGTGTTAATCATGGGAAAGATTGTGAGAGAATGTTAGCTTAACCCTGGATCTTGTTAGAGGAGAATCACCTCCTCCTCTGCTTTTGCCCCCTCTATAAGTGCCTAGCCCTCTAGGTGAGAGATTGTATGTCTTAGTGACCACCTCAAAATCTTAGCTAACGTTGGGATCTGAGTGTTGGCGTGAGCTAACTAAATCAATTAGTTTTGCTTCAGTTTTATCATCATCATCATCTCTTTTTATACCACTATCTTCATTGTCTGCAGAAGTATCCCCATCTATGATTTCATATCTTCATTTATCATCTGAAGTGCTTTCATTTTCAGAATCTAGAGGCAGTTCCACTTGCAGGAATAGGATCATCTTGTGTTGGTGATTTATTGAATGACCGATGGGTGAGTTCTGTCTGTAGATTGAGGTTTATATTTATGACTTGAAACTTCTCCTTGTAAGCATTGTCTGAAGATTCTAAAACATAAGATGAGGAGTTTTGAGAGGTGTTGAGTTTGATAAATATTTGGTAGTTGTTGGAGTGTTGAATTTAGGTTTGCTTTAGTTAGGATTTGAATAGAGGCAGGATTGTTGTGGGGTTGGTCACTCTAGTGACTTTTGGGAAGTTGTTGGCTATTACGGGGGTTGCTGTCTTTGGTAGAAGGTTCAGCTTGCTTCTGTCTTTGTATATCATCTTTGGTAGTAGTTGAAATAGTACTGGTTGTTGTATTTGAATCAAGTTTATTGTGGCTTGGTTCAACATGGTTAGTTTGCTGGAATTGTTGGCTAGTTTTAGGTCCTTGTTTGTGTGCCTTATTTGATTTTTTGTTGGTATTGGGGTAGAGTGAATTTGGATAGGCTGTTGGATAGTGTTCTTGTCTTGTTTTTCTGTTGGCTTTTGGGGTAATGTCAATTTGGATAGGTTTATGAATAATTTTCTTTGTTTCTTTCTCTGTTGATACATGCTTTTAGGTAATCTAGGAGATTTGAATCTGCAATTGGCTTTTGGTACAATTATCTTTGTTTATTTTCTTAACAGTAGTAACATTCTGGTATAACATGTATGTGGTCTGAGTTTTCCTTGAACTTCTTTTGGTTAGTGTTTGAAGTTTGTTGGTTTCCCACCTGAGGAACCTTTCATGTCATGGTAGAATATGCCAGCAGAAGAGATGTAATGGTAGTTGATGCATAAAGATCCCAACAGGGGCTAATAGAATTTCTATTTCAGGTACAAAGTCAGGCGACCACGGAAGTAGCTTCATTGGGCAACAAACTATATTGCAAAACCTCCTGAAATATATGTTGTTGTAATTTGTGAGAGTACTTGTTGATTTTTTGGTATGTATTGACTATTCATGTATGTTATCTTTGATCATTGTTTCTACTTGATAAAAAAGAATGATTATTGTATTGTAGATTGGTAAAGATCAAGTGTTTCATCAATGGATACAAAAAGTGAAAAATACAGTCCATCCTTTTCATGTTTTTGAAAAAGATAAGCTTCGAAATCTGTACTAATCACTTATGTTCCTTTGCTTACTATGCGAAAAGATTTAATCAACGATTATATTGAACCAGGTTCAACATCATGCATATCAAATGAGTCACGTGCTCCAACCTTTTAAATGGGTTTCATTGACGGTTAGTATGGACATGAAACTTTGCTTCTGTTGTTCTTTCTTCTTTCATTTTTTCATTCCTAAAGATTGTTGAACAAAAATTTGCACCTTTTAGTTCATAATTGATACATATAATTTACTTACTTCTAGGTTTTATAAAGGTTGCTCCAGGATAAAATCATAGCTAACTCTAGAATTTTATTCTACGTATTGAGTTATTTGTTTAACAGTCAATTACAAATTAGTTACTATCCAATCATGCTACCAAATAAAAATTTAATCTCTTTGTTGGTTACTTCTCAACTAGGGAATGCATACAATAAGCAAATATGAGACTGAAGTTGAGGGAGGAAGTGATGAGTTAATATGAAGGTAGGAACAAAGAAGCTCGCTCGAGTGAAATGGACCCTGCTCAAGTAATAATTTAATGTTCTCTTGATTGATATTATCTGTTTTTGATATGATATTAGCGAGCAGTTTATAGTCCTTATCTTGTTCAAGAAAGTTCAAACATATCGATTGCTCGACTCCTTCTTTCTCGGTTATTTCAAACTAGCTTATGTTTACCTAAAATCACCACTTCAGAGACGACTATAGGAGAATTGCTTAATGAAAAGAATTTATGCTATTTTCATTGAATGTCGATATTCCTCCACAAATAACTATCTAAGTGTGAGTTGTGTTTTTCTGATAGCTTTTGATGTCCAGGTGCTTAGTGATGCTAGAGTTGTATGCAAACCTACCGGTGACACACCATTTTATCTAGCATTTGTGTTCAAATGTTGGAACAAGCTAAATCGTGCGAACTACTATGTAAGATTCATCTATCTTTCTCTCTGGTGCATTTGTTCAAGCTCACTTTCTTTCTTTTTTCCTCCTCTTTTATAGATTATTTTTTTCTTTATGTTTTTTTTTTTTTATAACCTTCATAGAAGAATTTCATATATTTCCACAACTACAGATGGCACCGCCGGTGTTTGACTTATATTGTAACACAAACAATCCTAAGCATAGACAAAGGTTACCTATTGCATCTTAACTCCTTTATTCGACTTACGAGGAGAAAAAAGACATAAACTTCTTTGGAACTTGACATGCCACACTTGTTCTTTGATGTAATTTGCTGCAGTACAATTGACTCTCTATATAGCTTCCACGATAACCTTAATTTTTTTTGTTTCATTTGAAGTTCTTTCTCTGTTTTCTTTTCTAACATCATTTCACTCAATGCAAATTTATGTTCTTATTTAGGTTGAGAATTTATATAAGGATATCACAATAAATTTGAACAATAATGTTATTAAGCTTCTTTAGTGTCAATACTTAGTATCGGCAAAAACAATAAACTTATCTTTTTAACTTGACTTAATTGTAAGAATAGAAAAAAGATGGTGTCACGACCTAGATTCCCACCGTCGGGATCGTGATTGCGCCTACTAGTGAAAGCTAGGCAAGCCAATTGCTCCGATTAATTTACCCTTTTCATTTTTATCTTTCAAAAATTCACAAGTTAACACAATATAAACAGCGGAATAATAATGTGGAAGAACGGAATTAACAATTTAACTTAATACAAATACGGATCCATAATAGAGTTCTACCCAGAACTGGAGTCACAATCTCACAGACTGTCTAAGAATACTACAAATAGTGGTCTGAACAAAGAAAATACATATCTGTCTTAGAAATAAGTAAAAACAGAATGGAACAGGATAGAGGGGGACGCCAAGGCCTACGGACGCCTGCAGGACTACCTCGGGTCTCCACTGACTGAAGGCAGCACCCTCGAACTATGGTCTGTAGGGTCCAGTACCGGGATCTGCACAAAAGAGTGCAGAGTATAGTATTAGTACAACCGACCCCATGTACTAGTAAGTGTCGAGCCTAACCCCAACAAAGTAGTGATGAGGCTAGGATGCGACAACTATATAAACCTGTGCAATTTAATCTTATACGAGAAGCAATAATACCAAGAAACAATAATAACAGGAGGCAATAATAACAAGAATTAAACAGGATAAGATAGAAAAGGGGGAACATGCTGAGGGGGGGATATCAGGTTATGACAACAATGAAATAAAGTGACAAAGTAAATACCAAACTTGAAGCAACGGAGATAATAACACAAAAACAAGTGTACGACATCACCCTTCGTGCTTTTAGTCTCATCCTCACCATATAAATCAAAGAGAAGGCACGATATAACCCTTCGTGCTTTTACTCTCAATAATATGGCACGACATCACCCTTCATGCATTAACACTCACAATAACAGCACGACATCACCCTTCGTGCACTAACACTCTCTCAAAATATCATGCACGGCATCACCCTTCGGGTTTTACATGCTGAAGTCTAATACGTGGGATAGATCGTCGTGATACTTCCGAAGCATGGACACATGAAACACTGGGTGCACGACTAATAAATCTAGTGACAACACAAGCTCGTAAGCCACCTCTCCCACTCTCTGAAGAATCTCAAAAGGGCCAATGAATCTAGGGCTTAGCTTGACCTTCTTCCCTAACCTCATCACGCCCTTCATGGGCGACTCCCTAAGCAACACTCGCTCTCCGACCATGTATGCCACAACACGAACCTTGCGGTCGGCATAACTCTTTTGCCTGGACTGAGTTATACAAATTCTATTCTGAATGATCTTAACCTTATCCAAGGCATCTTGGACTAAGTCGGTACCCAACAATCGAGCCTTTCCGGGCTCAAACTATAAGGCCCCGGAAAATTTTTGCTAAGTAATTTAGGATTTCGAGGTGTCATGTAGGCTAATTATAATATTTTATGTGCTATTAACATGATGGATATCAATTGGATATGATAATAAGTGTATGAGGCATATTAAAAGTGATTTGGAGTCTAAGGAGAGGCCTAAGTCTAAGCCAAGTTGGAAAATTTCATAATGGACTAAAGTTGTGAATGAGTACGCAAAAGACCTCACTTTGGACAATCATATATCCAGTTATATAAGGTTTTGTTTTATGCACAACCTATCAAATTAAATCTCTTTGAGTGTAGTTTCCGATGCATCAAACCGTTCATCATTTGGAGGTGTATACAGAAAGTTACGACCATTTAACTGGGCATGTGTCATATGCGTGCCCAGGTGCGAGGTGGAAGCGCGGCCGTGCATATTAAGGAGTATTTTGCCTCGTGAGCGCGGACTTAGCGCGGTCATTACCGTGGGCGCACTAGTAGCAGACCTATAAATACCCCAAGACCGGGTATGGAGAGTCTCTAAGTCATTTTTTGAGCTAGGGGTTGCTCTATCAAGGGGAATCCATTCCATACTTCCCTCCTATGATCCAAGGTAATGTTTTTGGTGTATTTTGAGTTGATTACTACTCCTAAACACTTATATTAACAAGGATTGATCTTGAAAATCCATAGATTCCCATTCAAATCCCTAAATTGATCAAGAACACTACAAGTGGGGATTCTCAAAATTCTTACTACAAGAGGTATGTCTATCATCTCTAACTACTCTATGGTGATTAGTTAGGTATGATATATACATTAGAACTCATGGGATGGAGATTAGAAGCCATAAGTGCCTAATCTAGGTTGTGTTGGTGTTGTAGAGATTGTGAGATGGGTTATTGAGTTATGATTCTTGGGTGTAATAGTATTAAGTAGACATGCATGTACAAATTAGGTTTGTGGGAAGATTGTTGAACATAAATAAGTAAAGATTGGGTTGAGGAATGAAGGAAATCTTGTAAAAGAGATTTGAAATCAAGATGCTCAACTAGTGTTTGATAAAATGCTCAAATAAGCTAAAACAATGAATACCTTCCTAATTTGTGTTCAATTTTGTTATGTCTCAAGTAGATTGGAATTGCTAGAATTTCCGGAATGTCTTAGTAACTTAAGGAAAGCTTAAACAAGGTATGTATGGATAAAACCCCATCTTTTAGAAATCGAGCTTCATCGATGTTTGTGTGAATATGGTAAGATTAAAGTTGAATTGTTGCATCGATTGTTATTTTACATGAATTGGTGTTGTAACCTTATATGCATGAAAGATGTGTCTCAACATGATCAACGTACTATCTTGATAACTTGAAAGGGGCAAAAGATATGAATTATGTATTGAAATGCTTAGACCTTAAATTGAGATTGAAGCTGCATATAATGTGTCATCTATGTGAAATCTTATCTATGCTCACAATTTAAATTGCTGTTGTGTGCACCTACTGTCCTAAATTACAAAACTAACACTAAAATTGAAAATGATGTGAAATGTGGCCTAGTGTCAAATATATGACGTGATAGTTATGGCCCCAAGTGCCTTTGAAATGGCATATGTGTAACCAAAGATTGGAGTGAGATGAATAATGGAAAATGGTAACGTCTCGGGGAGGCGGCTTAGCCGATTGGGCCGTGATCGGACGCTATGATATATATGTCGTGCCCTCTTTTTTCTCGCGAAATTAGGCTTGTGACATTTGGGAGGACAACTCGTTCCCTATTGGGAATTGGGTTTTGGAATTTGAAGAGTCGCCACCTAATGATTAAGTGCATTAGGACACTTAGAAGAGTTTGGGTAAGGGCTAGAAATTATCTCGAGTGGAAGGTGTTAGGCACCCCTCAAGATCCACTAGTATGGTTGCTGCCATGTTACAATTGTGACTTCACATAATCAAGTAAACAATTAAGGGCCTCAAATAGAAGGGGATTTTCACATATTATTGCAAGCAAATTGCAAGTTTGGAGAGAATAAAGAAAGCAGAAATAGTTCGGACAATAAAACAAGTTAAAAGGAAGCGGGTCCTAGGTTTACAAACAATATGGATCACATCAATGCAATACCCGGCAATCACTCCTCAAAAGAGGGGTTACACGTGGTATTAGCGCACCGGTCATCATATTCATATCTACCCTTTCCCACCCCGTTAAGGTATTAAGTACGAAATAGTATCGTTACTTATTGCATTCTAGTACCCGCCCCAATCCTATCAGTCCCAGAGGCATTTGGGACTACCAGTCCTAAAGGGAAGGGAGATTTGGTTTTCAGAGTTTTAAAAGGACAAAATTCTAGGGCGACAATCAAAACATATAAGGCAGGTATGGGGAGAACACATAACAGTTTAAAGGGCTCAATCAGGCCTCCTCATTTATAGAGACAAATTGGCTAGCATGACTTACAAGTACTGGTTATGGTCTGAAATCAAATTAAAGCATAGGATAGGCTGATTCATCACATATTTCTCAGATAAGGAGTCCGAATTAGCCTTCTCTGGTTGTAATTTATCAAAGACTGATGCAGTTAATCAATTATCTACTAGCTTGCCTAGGTGAAACTTATAGGCATGATATCTAACAGTGCTTACTCCGATTTTAAAGAAGGCTTACTGATTGTGAAAAACACATAAGTTCTGCAGATGTTAAACGACATTACCACTGATGTTAGACTTGTAGATGAAGTAAACGAATCAGATTCAACTGGTTACTCCTATAGGCATGATTTCTAGGCGTCGTTGGTTTTAAGACGATTATAAAAATGCAGGAGTCCTATAGACATGGTATCTAGAATGAAACTAATTATTACTTAACCTATAACCGTTTGCCTAATGATAGATGCAAAATTCAGAAACTATAGGCAGGATTTCTATATGACGTGCATGAATAAAGAAAACTATAGGCAGGATTTCTATGTGACGTGCATGAATGCAGAAAACTTATAAGAAGGATTTCTATATGACGTGCATGAATGCAGAAAACTTATAGGCAGGATTTCTAATGAAATGCGGAAGTGCAGAAATTGTAAATAGTAACCTATGATCATGTTGTCTACCCTTTGCATACATAAGTGACCCTCCCCTTTCACTAGAATCCCATAAATTATTACAACATATTACAGACCATAATGAATTAAGAAAAGTAAAATTACATCAGAAATTAAGCTACAACCAAGGAGCCTAATTCAGACTCAAGGTCCAACAATATGAGGTGAACCAACTTCCAGGATCAGGTTTCCAAAGCCTTCTCTTATTTGGGATGTGTTAAAGTTCCTCAAGAGCCTCAAATGGACTCCGGGCAGTTCTTACAACCCAAATATATTGCAGAATTAAGAGCATAGTGCAGTGTGGAAATGCCAGCCCTCAGATGTCCAAGTTCAGAGGGAACTCAAGGTCCCAAAGCAAGGCTCATAAGAGGGGGCAGAA